CCAATAAAGCGGGACCACCATACAAAGAGGCCCACCAATAAAGCGGGACCACCATACAAAGAGGCCCACCTATAAAGCGGGACCACCACACTAAGTGGCACACCATTAAAGCGGGACCACCACACTAAGTGGCACACCATTAAAGCGGGACTACCACACTAAGTGGCCCACCAATAAAGTGGGACCACCATACAAAGTGGCCCACCAATAAAGCGGGACCACCATACAAATTGGCCCAACAATAAAGCGGGACCACCATACAAAGAGGCCCACCTATAAAGCGGGACCACCATACAAATTGGCCCAACAATAAAGCGGGACCACCATACAAAGAGGCCCACCTATAAAGCGGGACCACCACACTAAGTGGCCCACCAATAAAGCGGGACCACCACACTAAGTGGCCCACCAATAAAGCGGGACCACCACACAAAGTCCAACGATTATGCTAAATGAGTACCGTGTTTGGCTATCACCAAAATTTACAACCGTTTAGTCAGGGTTTTCCCAAGCATGGGTGCTCCTACCCCATGGGTGCAAAATAGCTTCCCATTTGGTGCATGGGCAGCTTATCTTAAGGGCATAGATGCCATTTACTTTTAAGGTTATTATGATAATGATTTATGTATTTTTTTTTATTTCTTACTAACATTTTAATTTGTTTTAATAATTCATTTTTTTTTTAAAGCATTATCGTCCCATGTTAAACTCATTACCAAAATTACCAATCGATTTTATCATTCAACGTTTTTCATTTTAAAAAATGCTTTTTTAATTTTGACCCGGTGAAAGGGGGAGTGGGGTGGGGGGCTGACAGGCCTAGGCAAACATTTCGTTGAAAAATAAGGTGGGGGGGGGCCTAAGAAAGAGTGTGAAACACTGGTATCGTTATCGTTAGAGGCAAAACCCAGGTAACCTTGACCTTATGCAACACGCTTTCTGAGCATGCACACTTGCAATATATCTTGTTCTTGCCCCCAGCTCTTACTTTGACCCGACACCAACAGGAGCTGCTGGGGGAGGGGGGAGGGGAGGGGGGAGACGTTTACAGATAATAGAAGATTATCTCTCACACGCTCGCTCTCTCCTTTTTTTTTCTCTTGAAAAGATGCAAAGCTTTTATAAGTCCCGTTCTTTGTTTATGTTGATAGGAGTACCTTAGTTCTTCTTCTTTTTTTTATCTTTCTTTCTTTTAAGTGATTTCCAAAAGTGAACAGTCATAGGCCTATGCCCATATTGTATGCTATCCTTAAAAACATGTACTACGTTCTGAAGTCTAATAAAAAAAAAATTGTTTGAACCTATAGGTAACATTACAATCAACTATTGTCAATATTGATTTTACTAAAAAAATTCTAGACATAAGATTCATTAAAAAAAATTTATATAAAATAAATATAATGACATAATTCTGCGATGTAAAAGTCGGTGGGATATTAGAATATCTATAAGAATGAGCTATCCTGACGTAACTCAAAAGAACCGAAAAGATTTGGATTCTTAAAAACAATCACAGTTGTTTTCTATTATTTTACGGAAATCGAATCAATTTAAATGCGCAAAAAAATAAAATAAATTCGCTTTTATTTTAGTTAAAGTTTCAGTATTATTATTGTAAATTACTAATACATTTAAATTAACAACAAAGGAATTATTTTAAGCATTTTATCTGAATTTAAAAGTTATGAACACAAAATTTAATCGAAAATTTATAGTATAAGAATTACATCGTAATCACAATTATCGGGAAAACCCAAACATTAGTTTTTTTTTAGTGCGTTTTTAGTGCATTGTTAATATTGCGTAATAAAATTAAAATTAATTTGTTCTATATTAACACGTAAATGACGTCATAGCACGAATCGCCTATGTTTGCAAAACCTCTTAAATTTCTTTGATTTAATAACCGCGCTTTATAAAACTGCTTATGTATTTCCCCCTTCTTAAAATTAAAATTAATAAATATAATTGATTGCTTTTACATTGTTATTAAAACAAAAAAATTTAGCTTTGTATTTTTAACAATAATTAATTAATAAGTTTTACCTTTTTTTAATTCCAAAAATATACTTTTATTAAATTTATAAGGTATTAAAAACTTAACTTTTAAATACACTTCTATTAAGAAAGTGCCGTTTAAGTTTAAGTTTAAGTCAATCAGTGTAGCGAAACTCAATAGTCATATTTTTCTCTAATCTATAACTAAACCAAATAAGAAAAAAAAAACGTATGAAATGCAAATTGTTAGTTTTGATATGTAAGGGACTACAATGCGGTTGAAGATTTTATACATTTTATTTAAGTCTTGGGGGGGGGGGGGGTCCATTTACCCCAGGCAGAAACGTTTCAAAATAAGGCATTAATTTAATAAATAATTAACTTTTTTTGTTATATACAAATCGGAGGTAGGAAATAGGATGTGTA